AAAAAAAAAAAAAAGAAAGAAAATGAGGTCTATTTAACACTTGCAAAGTCCATTTCTGTATCATTTTGTGGTTTACTCTCTGCCAAGCACATTATGCAACATGACCAGATTCTTTATAAGGGACTTTCTCACAGAAAGTACAGGGAGTCCCCGCATTACAAACAAGGCAGATTCCATAGGTTTGTTCTCAGGTATGAATCTGTATGGAAGTTGGAACAGGCACATTTACCTATTATCTGTAATAAGTTTCATTTGTAAGTGCGAGTTGTGGGTAAGTTGGATAATCTTAACTCAGGGACTGCCTGTATGACAAGGCAAGATTTTGTGCACAGCCAAATCTGCTAATAGTTTAAGGAATTAAATAGGAAATCTCGTGTCTTCTACTACACATTTTAACAAAAATGCTACGTGTAAAATGCAAAAAGATTTGGAGAGAATGCAATGCACAGAATAATAAAAAATTAGAAAAATGCATATGTATATTCTTACTATTACAATTAGCTTAGGTCTAGGAATAAGTAGATTGAAGATGTGTTCCAAAGGGAGTAATGTGAAGAATAACTGGAGAAGGGAATATGCCTTAACATATTATTTGCCATAACAATGAAAAATGGAAATTGAAATAAATGATGGTGTCGACGACCACACCTCTCTCTGCTCCTTTAACAGAGTCACACACAGTTTGCCCTGGCACAGACGTCTGAAAAAGGAACCAGCAGCAGCAGGGACTGTACACACTGCTGTTCTGTGGGCTCTGTCCCTGGAACCCACTTTCTCCCCAGCATTCTGTTCACAAGACCCTCTCCCCTAGGGAAAGAATGGCATCACCCAAGTGGAAGAAGAGGCCCGGAAGATTCTCATCTCTCCCCACACACAAAGGATGGACTAGGTAGCTCATTCAGAAATTTGAACAAAGCTTGAGTAATACCTGAATCCATTTCTACCTTTCAAATTTGTGCTGCTGCTCTCCCGTGATGGTAAAAAAAAAAAAAAAAACAATCAAAACCAAAAACATCTTCTTGTTCCTTCCTCCAAACAGCTGCCCAGGTTCCCCCTTTCCTCCTCTTCCATGACAAAAAGAAGACTCAATCTGGGAGTTGCTTTTCCTACCAGATCCATTCAAATATGTGGATCTTATGAGAACTTCAACGACTTACCACTGCTTCCTTTTTTTTTCCTTGGGTCGAATTTCATGAATTCAGGCTAATTTGGCTACTTGTTAGAGTGGATCAGGAATCGTATTTTTAAAAATTATGGTTGTATGAGTTACACCATGATGATGTATCAGAAATGAGTTTGTATGGTTGGCTCAAAAGGTGATTAAGAAGAAAGTAACAGAACCGTAGAGAAAGAGTCAGGTGGAAAGAAAGGGCAGATGCTGATAAGGACAAAGGTCGGCTAGAAAATCTAGAATTTGGGATAGAGGAGGTCAGAGACAAGAAAATCCTAGAGCTTGGATTTTTACAAGCTTTATTCTGATGCTGTACCAGGAACTAAGTTTAAAGTCTAAGTAAAAACAGAAGAATAATGGATACAGAATAATGGGCCCAGAGGAAAGGTGTGGAAAGACAGGATTTAGAGTTAAAAACAAAAAGAGCCTTGAGCGTGAAAAAGAAAATAAAAGGATAACCACCAGAAGAACATGCTGCTTTCAAAAGGGAACGGACCCTGCTTCCTTATACCATATTAGGGTATACCATATCAGGGGCTGGAAGATGATCTGACCTGAGGGTGAGTAATTGACAAATTGAATTTCAGCCCCCCAGGCCCAGGGGCTCACGCTAGTAATCCTAGCACTCTGGGAGGTGGCGGCAGAAGGATCCCTTGAGCTCAGGAGTTTAAGACCAGCCTGAACAAGAGTGAGACCCCCATCTCTACTAAAATAGAAAAATAAGATGGGTGGCTGTAGCAAGTGCCTGTAGTCCCAGTTACTTGTGAGGGTGAAGCAGGAAGATCACTTGGGCCCAGGAATTTGAGGTTGCTGTGAGCAAGGCTGATGCCAGGGCACACTAGGCTGAACAACAGAATGAGATTTTGTCTCAAGGAAAAAACACTTAAATTTTAATTCAACATTGGATACTTTTTCTTCTATTCTTGAGATATTTTGCTAAGAAGAATAATATGTTCCAGTTCCAAGTATCCAATGTAGTCAGTCTTAACTATGAAACCAATTTATAGCTTTCTTATGAAAGCTATAACCAAATTTTACCCCAAGAAGAAGGGGAAAGGGAGAGGGAGGGGAGGGGGAGAAAGGGGGGAGGAAGGGAAGGAGGGAGGCTGGGCGTAATTGGTGGGACCACACCTATGGTGCATCTTACAAGGGTACATGTGAAATTTGTTAGGTATAGAATATAAATGTCTTAACACGATAACTAAGAAAATGCCGTGAAGGCTATGTTAACCAGTTTGATGAAAAAATTTCAAATTGTATATAAAACCAACACATTGTACCCCATGATTGCATTAATGTATACATCTATGATTTAATAAAAAAAAATTTAATTCAAAAATACTGAGGAAGATCATGAAATAACAGGGGTGACAGGCGCCTGCCTTGATGGTCTGTTCTGAACCAAAAATAAAAAGTAATGAGTTATTTTTGTGTTCAGGTGGCCCTGTGCTAGATGGGGAGAAGGTCTCTAATTGCACTCTGAGAGCAATAAGTATTCTGTCTGCAGTTACTCTAGCATAAATGCACATCCTTACAAAAGCTGAACTAAAGGCTTTTTTACAACGTTTAGAAATTTTGCCAATCCACAGAATTGTGGAGGTTTTCTTTTTAAAAAATGAATTAATATCATAGAAAAGATTTAACTTTATCTTAAAATTTTGATGTCCTTCTGATGTATTTCAAAAGGAAAAAAATCAATGTCAATAAACATAAGAAGAAAAGACTTACAATGTCAGATTTGGGAGGGGGGTTAAGATAAGGTCTCACTATGTTGCCTAGGATGGTCTTTAACTCTTGGGCTTGATCCTCCCACCTCTGCCTCCTAAGTATAAATGGTAAAAGTTTTAGAAGGGGGTCACAGACTTTACCCACTTCCTAAGAACATGGCTGTCCATTGACTGCAGGACTCTATTTAGTGCTAGGCCAGTGGTTCTCAACTTTCCTAATTCCGCTTTAGGAACTTTAATACAGTTCTTGTGGGTCACGACCCACAGGTTGAGAACTGCTGCCCTAGGATAAGGAGGATGTGTTTACAACAGCCCAGTGGTCCAGGCTTCTCCATATCCCAGTGATTTTCAACTATGTGCTAGGATTTACTGGTGTGATGAGAGGATCTTAGACGTGCTGAGAACATTTTTAAAGACCATTAATTAAATTATTTTTTAGATCAGTTCAAAACACAGTATATATGCTCTTTTTTTTTTAATTCCTTCTTTTGGGGTGGACGGTCAACATAATTTAAGCGTGCTATGGGAGTTTAGCTAGAGGTTCAAGTATGCCTTGAGGTCAATGTTGAAAGACACTCTACATCCTGATGCTGTGAACATTAAGAAGAGGAAAACTGGGCTCTTCACAATAGGATTTTGGCACCTACCAAACTCCAGGATGTACTGATGGGCCTCATCCACGTAACGGATGAGTTGTTGGAGGAAACTGTAAGCAAATCGTTTCTCAATAGAAGGTGTGTCCAATTCCAGGTCCTTAAATCCTCTAGAACAAGAAAAATGAAATAGGAAAAGCATTTTATAGGAAGTCTTTTAGAAGGTAAAATTTTATAAGGAAGAAAATATATAAATTTTGAAGTTTATCAAATATTCTTGTGGCTTGAGGGAGAAAATGAGATTTACTTTATAAGGAATACTTTTATCTAACTTGAAACTGGAGTAAAAAGCTGTATGACCATGCAATAACATGTTGTCTTTGCAGAAACAGACTGTGATTTTTCTGCCTAGGGATTTTGCCTAAGTATAGAAGGTGATTTAATATAACCAGCAACAGGAACTCAGGTATGTGGCAAACAGCTAAGCACATTTATGTTTCTAATACCGTGTTTCCCTGAAAATAAGACCTACCCCAAAAATAAGCCCAGCAGGATTTCTATGCATTTGTTAAATATAAGCCTTACCCTGATAATAAGACCTAGTGATGGGCATGGCTATGCAGCATATCTGCATAGCCACGCCCTGCATTTCAGCACAGAGCGGTAAGAAGTCTGGAATATCTTTTATCTGCTACAGCTCTTTTCTCCCAGATGTTCACACTTGCGCAGGTGTGCATGTGGTAACTGCAGTTGCAGGCATCCTACTGCGCACTTGTGAACGGCTGGGGGAAAGGAGTTCACGCATCACTAGCGCCAGCCCCACCAACAAGGTCGGCTCCCCTGTCAGGTTCCAGAAGAAGATGACTTAACTGTATTTGAATAAATGTAGATTGTTGCATTATACTTAATACAAATAAGACATCCCCTGATAATAAGCCCTAGTGTGTCTTCTTGAGAAAAAATAAATATAAGACAATGTCTTGTTTTGGGGGAAACAGTGTCTTATTTTTAGAGAAACACGGTACATGTGCATTTTGAATGCACTAAACTACTGTGTCACTATCTTCATGTTGAGCTTTAAATCTGATGGGGAGATTTAAATATTCAGTCTTATGAGAAGAATGTGCAATTAGGGTCGGCGTACTTTTACCTGGACACAACATAACCATTGATCTGCAAGAACTTGAGGATGTCTTGCGCTTTCTCTCTGTCCTTGGCTTTCTCTTTGGCTGTCAGGGTATCGTAGGGCACCAGCAGGGGATGGTTTCCACCTCCTAGGAGGTCAGGATAAGAACACAGCATGGTAATGTGAATGTAATCTGAGACGAGACACACCACATATGTAAAAGGACCACACTACTAAACTTCACCTACCCTTTAGTAATACACAGCACACATTAAGACTCATTAAGACTTCTCCCTCAGCTGGGCATGCAGCTCATGGCTGTAATCCTAGAACTCTGGGAGGCCAAGGAGGGGAGGATTGCCCAAGATCAGGAATTTGAGACCAGCCTGAGCAAGAGCAAGACCCCATTTCTACTAAAAATGGAACAAACAAACAGTAGCTGGGCATTGTGGCAGGCGCCTGTAGTCCCAGCTACTCAGGAGGCTGAGGCAGGAGAATCGCTTGAGCCCAAGAGTTTGAGGTTGCTGTGAGCTGTGATGCCAGGCACTCTACTGAGGGTGACATAGTGAGATTGTGTCTCAAAAAAAAAGACTCTCCTGTCTCTGGTATCTTTAATGTTACAATTAATTCAGGAAAACTGTTCAAAGAGAGACTGCATATGCCTTCTAAGAGGCAATTAACGCATACACGTGCACACATCTGCAATAACCTTGAAGGGAGAAGCGGCCCCCTTCTCTTCTCAGTTCAAAGGAATTATGAGTCAAAACAGACCCTGAAACATACTTAGCTAGTCAGCTGTTTCAGGCCTGACGCTGCATTTTCTGCTTCACCAAGAGAAGGAAAAAATGTCTTAAAATATAGACTTTTTTAGTACACTTATCATATCTGAGAGTACTTCATAGTCATGTTATACTATACTCAAAACCATGGTGAGAAATGCTAAGTTAAAACTTGATCATCCCAGGCGGCACCTGTGGCTCAAAGGAGTAGGGCGCTGGCCCCATATACCAGAGGTGGTGGGTTCAAACTCAGCCCCAGCCAAAAACGGCAAAAAAAAAACCTTGATCATTCTTGAGTATCTAATACTTCACTGATTAAAGAATTTTAGTGAGTAACTTCTAGCAAGAGTCTAAATTTCTACTATACTTTTCTGGTGAGAAATACCACATGTATTCTATTCTTTAGATTTAAGAATACTAGAAAATATTTAAATTTTGAAAACTGATGAGGAAAAAATTATGAAATCAAAAGTTGTATAAAACTTTTTATAAAGGGGCGGCACCTGTGGCTCAAAGGAGTAGGGTGCTGGCCCCATATGCCGAAGGTGGCAGGTTCAAACCCAGCCGCAGCCAAAAAAATTGTAAAAAAAAAACAGTTTTTATATAAAAAGTTCACGAAAATATTAAAAAAATGCTCCATCCTTTTGGACTGAAAGCTCTGATAGAAAGAATACTTAAGAAAGCAATAGCAAAGTGAATGTCATGGCACGCCCCAAATTTAAAGTTTATAAAACACATACAGTAATACATGTGTGGGATGCTGGATCATCCTGAAAGACAACTGCTTAGGGAATTCCAGGCAGAAAAATACGAGAAAATAAATATGTGGCTTGAATTACGATAATAACACATAACCTATTAAATCAGTTTCCAACGCAGTTTAGCCAAGAGCTACAAAAAGAGTCCTGCATGTTGAATTTTCCCTGCACAATGAAATAAACCCAGTGAAAATGCGAAGGGAAAGTGTCTTGTTTTCCTAGGGCTGGCTCTGACGCGGAGTGCTGGCCCAGGGTCCAGGACTGCCAGGTAGGCCTGCAGTTACCTGCTGACCATTAGGGGACACTACACGATCACAAACATGAAGGGACTGGTCACAGGGCCTTCTGAAAAACATGCTCTCCCAGCTCTTACTATCTTCTCTTCTCTTCAATGGCCCCAAACTTTTCCTGTTTACCTCTACAGATCCCTGTGTCTCTCTCTCTCCTTGTGGTTTACAGGCTTTGTTTGAATGTTATAAAGGATTACTTTATACCAGTGGGTCTCAACCTTCCTAATGCCGCGGCCCTTTAATACAGTTCCTGTGGGTCGTAACCCACAGGTTGAGGAACCACTGCTTGATATACTAAAGTTTGTATGGGCTCATTCTGGTATTTTTCAGATGTAGTGAGTGCGCATTGGATGTTGTAGGTGTGTTGTAAGGTCGTTTTTAATGCCTTTCATTGCAAAATTAAATTCAATTGGCTCTCTGTATATTTGAGAAAAAAAGCTGAACCATGTTAACTAGAAGTCAGCTCCAAACAAAGAGCAAAATAACTCCCCTGCACAGCTTCCCTGGGCAACCAGAGGCCTGGAAAGGGAAGCCCAGGGCAACTCCCCAAGGCAAGAATGGCCTTAAACCCTTGGCTACAGTCCAGTCTCTTGAAACTGAGGCAAGGTAAGGAAAATGACCCCAGCTATTTGATTTTTTTTCTGGTCTACTGGCATAAATGGAAGGGTTCAAAGTCATTCTGGGTTTCTCTAAGACTTTGCCTAGTTGTCGGTGGTTCTAATGCAAAACCTTTAGAGTGTTTCTCAACCCTGAGTTTAATTATTGTTACCTTGCTAACATTTGGGGGAAGAAAAGGAGGTCAGAAAACCTAGCATTTAAGACCTGCTCATGATAGAAAGCCTATTTTTCTTTGTTACTGGGAATTTAGAAGAAGCTTGTAAAATTATAAAGGGTTAAATGTGCAAATGCTGCACAGCCGTGTTCTCCAGGACAAGGCTCATCCCCACTTTGATTGTTACTCTGGGGCAGGCGCAGAAAAGGGCAGAGCTTGCATCAGGTGGGACCAGGCTCCCTGATACCTGATTTCTCAGGCTGTACTGCCACCAAGTAATAAGCATAGAAGAGCCAGTGGGTACAAGCGCTACACTGGTAATTGTGGCTAATTCCAGACAAGCACATGGGCTGCGGAGGCCACCCTCCTCAGGGATTCTTCCCCAGGCATTAGAAAGAAGCTTCCTTTTGTTTGGCCAGAAGGCTCCTTGGGTTGGTCAGAGGATGCTTTGACAACCAGGGTGGGATTGATTAAAGTGCTGGACGTTTGTTCTTTCCCACAGATGGGTAATGTTCTCTTGCCAAGAGAACTGTCACCAGGTGGGACCAGGCTCCCAGATACCTGATTTTTCAGCCTGTGCTGCCGGAATACCCCGCTGGGTTATGTTGGGACATGTTTGAATCCTATATTCTGAAAATACAATGCATGGTTTTCTTCTGCACCCAGAACTGGCATCAGTATCAACTCTCCAATGGTGAACAATGGCCACCAGAGGGTAATCTAAATTATAATACCATTTTTCAATTAGATATTTTTTATAAACAAGAAGGCAAGTGGCCTGACGTGCCATATGTGCAAGCTTTCTTTTTCCTCAGGGACAACTCCCAACTGTGTAAAGCCTATCAGATAGATTCAGCTCTCCTGGCTGTAGTAACTTCCCCCAAATGGTCAGGGATTCCCAAGAGATAGGCTGTCACCACCTAGTTCAAAACCCCCATCTATTTCTTCCAAACCTTCCTCCATGTCTTTAGAAAACCCCAAGAAAGAGTTTATTCCCAGAGTTTCTTCTGTTCCCATTGGGACCCCCAGAAAACAACTATATCCTTCTTTATGTCCCTTGGTTGAGACTGTGGGTGGTGAGGGGGAAGTGTGTGAGTATTCATTCCGTTTTCTCTAACGGCAGATTTAAAACAAATTAAGGTTGATTTAGGAAAATTTTCTGATGATCCTGGTAGGTATACAGATGTTTTGCAAGGGTTAGGATAAAGCTTTGACCTCTCTTGGAGAGATGTAATGCTACTGCTAGATGAAACTTTAACTTTTAATGAGAAACATGAAGTCTTGGATGAAGCTTGTGGTTCATGTCCAATACTGATGGCAATATGTCCCCTGAGGAAAGGGACAGATACCCCACAGGATGACAGGCAGTTCCCTTTGAGGATCCTGAATGGGACCTTGAGAAACAAGGTGACTGGTGGCGTAAACATTTTCTAACATGTATCCTGGAAGGTTTGTGTCAATTCAAGAAAAAGTTTATTAACTGTTCTAAGTTATTTACTATTTACCAGGAGCAAAATGAGAGTCCCTTAGCCTTTCTTCAGCAGCTTAGGGAGGTGATGAGAAAACACACTCAGTTAACACCTGACTCCTTAGAGGGCCAAATTATTTTCAAAGATAAATTTATCACTCAGTCACCCCAGATATTCAAAGAAAACTCTAGAAACTGACTCCAGGCTCAGATCATAACCTGGAGAATCTTATTTTTTTGGCCAGGCCAGGGCTGGGTCTGAACCTGCCACCTCCAGCATATGGGGCTGGCACCCTACTCCTTTGAGCCACAGGTGCCACCCTGGAGAATCTTCTTAAAATGGCCACTGTGGTCTTTTATAATTGAGATCAGAAGGAAGAGGAGAAAAAAAGAGAGAAGGGATAGAAAAAAAATAACAACTCTAGGAATGGCATTCCAACAAACAGGCACCATTCAGGGGCAGAGGGAAGCCAGAGGAACTAAGAACAAGTGCTTCCAATGTGGGCAGGCTGGCCACTTCAGGAAAAACGGCCCTCAGTAGCACCACCATCTGGGCAAGGCACTGGGCCCCTATCCGGAGCACAAGGGTGACTACTGGAGGATAGCCTGTTCTCAGAGGACAGTGTCTCCTGGGACAGTCATTCCATCAGCGCCCAAACTGGACTGAGGGTGCCCGGGGCAGATTCTCAGGGTTCCAGCTTATGTTATCACCCCTCAAGAGCCCCAGGTCTGCCTCATAGTGGAGGGCCAGGAGACAGAATTTCTTCTGGACACTGGAGCAACCTTTTCTGTACTCTTCTCTAACCCTGGTCTTTCATCTCCCAAATCTGTAACTATACAGGGGGTATCTGAAAAGCCAGTTGCCATTTTTTTTCTCTCAACCTTTAAGCTCCAATTGGGGTGACTGGCTGTTCTCTCACACCTTCCTAATCATGCCTGAAAAGTCCTGCCCTGCTTTGGGGGAGGGACATATTAACTAAAGTGGGAACAACCATTTATAGGCATATGGGACAGGAACCTATACTCTGCCTTTCCTTATTAGAGACAGAAATCAACCCAGAATTATGGGCTACTGAGGGACAGGAGGGAAGAGCAAGATATGCTCAACCAGTCCAAATTCAGTTAAAAAATCCCATCATGTATCCCAGTCAAAAACAATATCCTCTAAAAGCAAATGTTAAGAAGGGACATTAATATCCATAATACAGAATCTAAAACAGCAGAAAATGTTATACCTTGCAATAGTCCATGTAGCACTTCTATTCTAAGAGTACCAAAGCCAAACAGAACTTGGAGACTAGTACAAGACCTCCGCAAATAAATGAAGCAGTCATTCCTCTCCATCCTATAGTTCCCAATCCGTATACTTTATTGTCTCATGTCCCTGAAAAGGCTGCCTGTTTCACAGTCCTAGACTAAAAAGATGCCTTTTTCTGTAATCCTCTTCATGAGAATTCCCAATATCTTTTTGCTTTTGAAAACACTTCTGACTCTAACATTCAGCTCACATGGACTGTGTTACCCCAGGGATTTAGGGACAGCCCTCACTTGTTCGGACAAGCATTAGGCCAAGACTTGTTTCTCATATCCTACAGCCACTCTTACTCAGTAAGTAAATGACATTCTTTTGGGAGCACCAGATGCAGAGGAATGCCACAAAGCTACCCAAGTTCTACTAAACTTTCTAGCTGATTGTGGGTACAAAGTTTCTAAGGCTAAAGCCCAATTGTGTGTGCCTGAAGTTCACCATTTGGGTCTCCAATTTCCCCAGAGAAAGAGAGCCTTGGGCAAAGAAACCCACCACCTCTGGTATATGGGGCCGGCACCCATCTCCTTGAGCCACAGGTGCCACCATGGAGTCTGCAAAGTTGAATGGGCTGGCCTTCAAAGCATCAGTTACACAGGGAATATCTAAGCCCTGGGCATAAAATATCATCTACACTGTTCTTGGAGGCCCCAATCCTCTGGGAAGGCAGAAAAAAAATGAATGATAAAATCAAAGGACAGTTATAAAACCTAACTGAAGAGACTCACCTCCCTTGAACTAAATTACTTCAGATTTTTCTCTTTAGAATAAGAAATGTACCTCAGAAACTCGGTTGTAGCCCATTTGAATTATTATATGGAAGAGGCTTTTTAACTAACTTTTTATTATTAGATCAAGAAACTATAGAATTAGTAAAACATATCACTTCTTTAGCTAAATTTCAACAAATCCTTAAAAACCTCCCAACTACATTTTCACATTCAACACTAAAAGAGTTTTTCTCTCCTGGAGAATTAGTTATGATTGAAATTCTTCCCTCCAATTCACCTTCCCTAACCCCAACTTGGGAAGGTCCCTTTTCTCTCATTTGTTCTTCTTCTACAAGTGTTAAAGTTATGAGAATAGATTCCTGGATACATCATTCACAAGAAAATTCTAGAACCCACTACCTCCGACAGAAGCGGGCCATGAAGGGCATGAACCACATCTCACCTACACTTGTGAGCCTAAAGAAAATTTAAAGTATTGTTTAGAAACCAGCGAGGAAAGTGTTAATGTAATTTTCTCTTGAAATCACTGACTTTGTTATTTCCAACTTGACTCCAATAGTGTTGTAATTAACCCTGTCCCCTCATTGTTCCACCCTTACCTTTTAACATGCTAACCAGATTTGTGTCTTGCAGAGACAATGTCATCAGGCCACAAATGGTAAAGATAATTCCAGCCCAAGTCCTGATTGTATTACGGACCCCTGGATCACTTTCCCTCCAGAGAAACCCTAACTGTCCCCTTCTATCATCCCCCAGTCCAGCAGGAAGCAGTTTGATTGAGTTGTCATCCTTTTCCCCTAACAGCAATTAGAGTTTCTACTCAGAGAGGGAGGATTGATACAGATTCTCCCATTCGAAGCTGGACAGGGGACCCCAGTTTTCCTAGGGTTGGGCAAGTTCATGACGGGAACACCTTGACCTTTTGCCCTGAACTGGAGGGACTGCATTCACTCCTTTGTCAATAACATTCATTAACGTTGAAAACGTGTTTCTATTTGCCAAGTCCTGGCCAAATGTAATTCTCAAGACCGAATACCCCTAGATAAAGAGCCCATGTAGAGACTTCCTACTTAGTGTATTCTTTCCCCCCTGGCAGAAGCTCTGGTGCCTTTTACTTCTTCTGCACTCCTTTCTATCTTCTAATAAAAATCCTGTCTTGCTACTGATCTGTGGTCTGTGGGTTCATTCCTCAAATCCCCAAGACCAAAGACCTACGGAAGAGCAAAATTCTGGTATCACTGGTACCATCCTACCATATCAAGCTTTCCCTCTCACCACAAAATATGCCATCTTTCAAAAATCTATTCCCTCTATTTTTAATCTATTCTAAGAAATACAAATAGAAGTTTCCTTGGTGTCAAGAACCATACAATGAGGATTACAAAAGAAGTAAAAACTGAAAAAAAAAAAATGATTTCCATTGCGGGAAGAAACCCATATAGGAGGAAGTCATTAAAGAGAAAGTGTGTGCACACCCATTATGTAGTTCAAGCAACACGGGTGTAGACTAATGACAAATGCATGACAATGAAAGAGAGCATCAGTAGGATACAGGAAATGAAAAAAAAAATCTGTGCAAATAAAAAAAGACTTGAGAAATGATGAAAAGAATAGTAGATCATTTTTAGTACTTGAAACAGAAGGAGAGAAGAGCATGTGTGAGATGGCAATATTCCTGGACTAGACAAAAGAGCCTGAGATGGGAAATAAAAAGGAGTGAGACAAGAGGTACTTAAGTTAGGAATGAGAGTCAGGAAGGGAGGTCTAGTAATTAACAGGGCATCTGATAATGGGATGATAGATATAAGAGGTCGGACAGTTAAGTTCGCAAATGTGTCCCAGAGAAAGGGCTACACACTCTCACTGTTGAATATCACTACGGTCACCTGTGAGGGACTCCCTCTGGGAAGTCGTGCACAGATGCACACCCACTCCACCCTTCAGAGCAATTTTGTTACTCTTCTTCTGGAATGGCCATCAGAGCTGCTGTTGTTACCTGTCTGACAATTAAGTTCAAGAATTCATCCTAGAAAAAGTGCTCTGAAGGGTGGACTAGGCGCTGGAGTCCATGCACAGCTTCCCAAGGGGAGAACTGTAAAGGTGACCCTAGTGATAGTTAGCAGCAAGGTATGCAGCGATTTTTCTAGGATCTGCTTGTGAACTAGAAAACTAGGTCATCTGTTTGTGACCTTATAGACACCTACGTGCTAAAATGGGCAAACGAGAGCCATCAAAATTCTGAGACGGAAGAAAATAGACACTAGCAGGCCAGAAATTACAGAATTTCCACCTTGAATATGTTACACACACATTTGATGAACCACTCTAATAAAATAAAGGTATAAAGACCTTTTGTGCTTAAAAGACTAAATATTCCGTCCATATACTCATGTAGCTGAACTCTGCGTATTTTTTAACAAAGGCTTTTAAACGATATTACCTTTAGACTCCAACTCCATTTTCTTTTTCTTTGCCCATATGTTATGGTAATTTTCAGCCATCATTTCTGCCATAGCCTTAAATGAACAAAATATTTGGGAGCTATCACGTCAATAAATAATAAAAAAGGACAGCGTTGCTTTCAAATATACAACATCAGAACATGCTTTAAATGAATAAATCATAGAGCATTGGTGCTAAGATACACTTAAAAGATAATCAAACATAGCTTTTTTATTTGGAATCTGAATTCCAAAGATTGTAATAATGTGCAAAATTATACAGTAATTAACTAGCTGAGGTGATTCTACAGGAATGGCCATTATTAATTTATAATGCTTAATAATATGTTTTATTATTTCAACAATGGAACTTCAAGATAGCTACGGACTTTAACAAAAAGCAAATGTATTTGTTTACAAGTTCTTGTTTTAATTTCCAAAGCTTTAAAAGATGACCTGAACCTTATGAAACCTATGATTGCAAAGAACAGTCAAAAACTTGGCTTCTGGATCAATCTCTTTCCAAACCAGCTGACAGACCTCAGATTAGCTTTGTTAATCTCTCTGTGGCCTTCTGGATTTTGATAAGTTTACCCCTAAGAGTCTTTTCACTTCTGATTTTCCAGTTTTCTATGTCATTTTAATACATTCGTAAAGGAACAACAATAAAGGGCAACCGTGTATTTACATCTTTAGTTACTAACAATGTCAATATCATTGTTTGAATACCACATTGACCTGTCAACTTCTGTTTCAAATCAACAAATTTTTCTCCCTAGGGAAAGTACAAAGCAACACATTTTATTTCATTCAAATTTGTCATTTCAAATTAGGTTCCTCAGTGACAAAGGAGAATGGAGCAAGCAGAATGCCATTACTTTCCCGGAATAAACAACTTGAAAATTAAGGTGATCCTGTCAAATCTTTGCTTATTCTCTTCCCACACACCACTGTATTATGTCAGGATTTTAATGGATATCATATTTAAGAAAAAATAAATTAGATGAAAGAAATACCCTAGAAAAAGTTTTATCAACTTTGATAGTACCAAAAAGTTAGGGTACACAATCTATAATCGCTATGGAACCATCATATGATAACCACTTTCAAACAATTCATACTGAAAAATACATACAGAAAAGTGTCACAGTGTGCATTTAAAACTGACATTTGGAGGATATTTTTAAAAGTACTAGTACTTACATGCAGGTCTCTGGATAAGGTGACATTGCTCATGTCAATGGCCCGGGGGCTGTAACCATGGGCAGCATCTACAGAAACCTAGATCAAAATAGAGTCTTGTTAAAAACCCTGTGGAGAGAGATTTAAATGATGATTTTGTTAGTCTTTTCTCTGACTCCAGTAGGTCTGGACTTTCATTAAGCAAATAATAGAACTGGTTTATCTGGCTCTGCTAAAAACATTCCTTCCAGGTTATAGAAGATCTCAGCAGATTACCCTCTGACCTTCTACAAGGCCTCTAGCAGATGACCTGTGGATCTCAGGCACACCCACCACCTGCTGAGATGCCCTTATACTTAACCTTGAATTGCTTAGAAAGAGGTCCCTACCAGTAAGAGTAGCCCACATAACAAAATCTCAAAACTACAGATGTTGGTGTGGATGTGGAAAAAAGGGAACACTTCTGCACTGTGGTGGGAAGGCAAGCTAATATGGTCCTTTTGGAACAAGTTTGCAGAACACTCAGGGATCTAAAAGCAGACCTGTTGTTTGATCCTACAATTCCTCTAATTGGTGTATATCCAAAAGACCAAAAGTCACTTTACAACAAAGATATTTGCACTAGATGGTTCACTGCAGCTCAATTCAAAATCACCCAGTCATGGAAGAAGCCCAAGTGCCCATGGACCCATGAATGCATTAATAAATTGTGATGTATGCATACCATGAAATACTATGCAGCCTTAAAAAGATGGAGCCTTTACCTCTTTTATGTTTACATGGATGGAGGTAGAACAGTCTTCTTAGTAAAGTATCCCAAGAATGGAAGAAAAAGTATCCAATGTTCTCAGTACTATTATGAAACCAATTTAAAATTACTCACACTTTCATATGAAAGATAAATCAGAGCCATAGCCAAGGATGAAGGAGGGAACAGGCGGGGAGGGTGGCAAAGGAGAGAGTTTTGATGGAGGGAGGGTAAATGGTGAGACCGCACCTATGGTGCATATTGTAAGGGTACATGTCAAATCTATTAAGTATAGAACATAAATGTCTTAACACAATAATTAAATGAGGTAAAATAGATTAACTAGTTTGATAGAAGCATTCCAAATTGTACATAAAATCAGCACAGTGTACCCCATAAATGTATTTTTTATACATGATCTATGTGTATATGACTTAATAAAAATACAAAAAAAAGAGGCCCCTTCCCCTAACTAGGGGCTGTTCATCTGCTTGCAGATGTTTTCATAAATCTCTGCTATTAACTCTACTCAGCCTAGTTCTTTGAAGTACCTTCAGCTCTAACAACTTTAGAAATACAAGGCAAATACAATATTTTCTCAGCTTAAACTGGCACTTACTTACACAAAATAACTTTGCAAACACAACTAGCAAATTAAATTACATTTGGGTGTCTAACAATCATTTCTGTTTGAGAAATAAATCCAAATATCATAGGAATTACTAACAGTCCCAAGAGTTCATGGTAAGAACTCAACAAATTATGCAATGAATCAAAATCCAAAATCCCAAAATGTTACCTTACTGCAAAGAAGCATATCACCATCATGTCTTACAAATTCTGTAATTTCATTAGCTACAAATCTCATTGGCTACAATGAGATTTACTCTTTTTCATACAAGTAGTAGTTAATCAGATAGGTCAATATTCACAAATGTCTTTGTGGGTCAAACGTTAGGATAAAATATAGCCAACTTTTTAATCATAAAAGTGTATCATATGCTATTTAATGGTTTACAAAGAAATCCCTGATGATTAGTGACGTCTTACTTAATTTATTAATTCAGACTTTTAAAAAAGAAATGATATCTTCTCATCAATTTCAAGAAAGTTCTTCATTACCATCCTGGGCATTATCTTGTTCTACCCTGATTAGGGAAATAAGGACGGTAAAGTGGCAATAGGGAGGTGGGAGAGAATTATGGCCTTCTGGAGAAGAAAGCTGGAAAGGGCCTTGAAGCAAAATGAGGAATTTGGGGTGGGTGTGATCTAGTTAACCAAGTTTGTGCTACTCCTGTGAAATATAACTGTGAACTCATGACCTCTAGCCCATGAATGAGCTCCCTATGAAACAAAAATAAGGATCCCTGTCACAGAACAATGCACGCCATACTGCCACAAGCATCATTAGACTACCAGAAGCCATATTATCACTACTAAAATAACAGTCAATAATTATAGATACAGAGCAAAGGAAATTGGATTTATGTGACAACTGAGGTTACCCACAATTAATGAAACCAAGTCAGCCTGTCTGAAGGCCTAAGGGAACCATGCGAATCCTTATAGATGAATGTGGGAGGAGTTAGGATGAAAGTGCTTACATTGGTGCAAGGCCTTGGTGTGGGGTTCCTCTCTCTTGCAAGGGAGGGACCTTTTTCCACTCTCTGGAGAAGTCTATGATGATCTCTGCTTTACTTTAAATAAAATAAACTCTTTTTTTTTTTCCATTTTAAATAAACTCTGCTTCTATTCTGCTATAGGAGTCCCCGCTGCCTCATTTCCACTCCCCCAATCTTGCTCTTTGACTCAGCCAAACTTGCTAGTTCTGGTAGGCAAATGGAACCAGGTGCACTGGACATCTCAGAGGTGAACTCTCACCTCTAACATACCCAGTGGCATATTACACGAAAGTCGACTATAGAAAAGAGCTCTGCTTCCTGCTGCTAAAGCTAAAATTATATCTTGACATTTGAATACTTGTCAGTATTTCATAATAGTGTATATTCTTTTTAGAAATGAGTAAACACAGAACTAATAGCAAAATAAAAAACAGATCCTTTGTGCTTTTAAATAAAATAGAGACTGAAATACCCTATAATTAATAATGTCCTCACGAGCAATACTCAACTTACTGGCCAGTTCTGACTCACCCTGGCTTCCATGTCTTCACCCTCTAATAATGACATGCGTCATACACTTACTAGATTAAAATCATGCTTGGGTTTCCATGACCCAAGCGAGCATGTGCTCCAATGTAGAAGTGTATTCCTACATTGGCTAAGTTTATTATAGGGGCTTACACGATTAAAATGTAAATTTAGATTGAAAACACTAAATGTGAATTTAAAAGGATATCCTACATTTTAAAGAGCCTGCAGTGTTTTTTATTATCCAGTTGAGATGGTTAATGCTGCTTCTGGACTATATTATATTTCCAGAGGCATAAAAATTACAAATTCCATTCCAATTGGATCCTCATTGCAACAGTATTTTTGGTTCACCCTTATTGGTTTATATCTTATTAGTGATGAATATTATCTGCTACATTTTTTTTTAGCTCTCAAACCCTCTCCTTTTCATGGTATTTAGCTGATAACTATACTTCCTATTTCAGTGAATACAGAAAAGGGAAAAGATCACATAGGTATTAATTGCCTACAATCTATTACTTTTCACTTTTAAAATTACCCATTGAATCACAGCTGTCAATCCTTTCCTCTGTCCCATTCCACGAGCAGCTATGTCCAGCTAGAGCCCAATTCTGTATTTCATAATAGTGTATATTCTTTTAAGAAATGAGTAAACACAGAACTAATAGCAAAATAAAAATATATCCTTTGTGCTTGTAAAATAAAACAGAGACTGAAATACACTATAGTTAATGTCCTCATGAGCAATACTGAAATACTTGAAAACTATTAGTTCTAACTAGTTTTAACTAATTTTTAACTAGTTTTCAATACTGAAATACTTGAAAACTAATAATGTCCTCACGAGCAATACTGAATACTTGAAAACCTGTACCCAACCAAGTGCAATGAGGGCAGCCTTAGACAACATCTTCCCTGTTTTAAGATTCTGTTCACCATCTGAGGTAAATGAGGATAAGGCTTGTTAGGTGAAAGTAAAATTGGCTGGTAGACGCCTCCTCTGTAAGAGTTCTCTAATCATAAACTGCAACCTAACTTGGTACATCAACAAACAGAAAATCTAAGTTAGGAATTTGCCGTTGTAACAAAAGATGAGTCTAAGTAAACACAGCAGTCAAGCTTGACTCAGTCACAGGCAGCCAGCCAACCGTCCAAACCATGCTCAAATAAGGCCAAGGCCAAGATGGAACCCACCACCTGGGTACAGCTTTCTCCGTACCTCACCTGCATTTTCTGTATAACACTTGCCTTCTGTTTATAAACGTTACCCGGCCACATGGCAGTCCTGAGGTCCCACGGAGCCTGTCCAGGTTCTAGGAGCTACCAGTGGTTCTTTACTCAATTAAACTCTGTTAAATTTAATTGGTTTAATCTTTTCCTTTTAACCTAACTAATGCCAGAATCCATGATCTGGATTAATCTCTGATTACTCCTCTTCATCCATTATGACCTATCAGTTAATCACAAAACTCTTTCTACTCTACCTCAAAAATACCACTAGGAGACATCCACTTGCCTCCACTTCCATTGTCTTGGCTTTAATTGAGATTCTTAGCATTTTCTGTTTGTTCTTCTGGGATATTTACAAAATCCTCCCAAGGATTTTGTCTTTCAGCCTTCAACCTCAACTTTCTCTGGTTCATTCTCTACTCTGCTGTCAGAACTGTACCTCCAAAAATACAGTGTACTGAGTCTGTTCTCCTCTGAGTGACAGGCTTTTCTACAGTGCAGCAGAAACCTGTGGGCATGAGCTGAGCCCTGGGCTCTTGGTATTCCCAGAGACAACACATGCCATCTTTGATACCCAAATGATTCCCAATCCTGTCGATAGTGAAATATAGCCAGTGTATGTCTCAAAACTGATGAAAAAGAGTATTCTATATATTCTATCAATTTTGTTGAATAAATGAATAAAACAGAGCTGGTTTCAATAACTTTATGTGTTGCTAAAACAGAATTTCAAATATTTAATTTCCTCTGAGACCATGTTCCTTATATAATGGATATTTACATCCCTTCCACTTTAGATTAAGTTCCTGAGGGCAGTTTGAAGAACGTAATGAAATATTTGTTTATTCAGCGACAGTATTTTTATGTTTTTCATTGCCTGTTTTGCCTCTTTCACACAGACAGAAATCAGAAGACTGGGCAGGTCTTCAGTAATTTCAGGTTACTTGGAATATTCACCATAGTTGACCAAGAAGCTTTAACAACAACACTAATCTTACTAGCAATCACATATTGTTTATTTATTTCATTTAATATTTAGAACAACTCTAAAAAGTAGATGTTGCTTTTTACCATTTTAAAATTAGAAAAAATAGAGGCACAAGAAAAGTTATGAAATAATTTTAAAAGTCATATGGCACGGAGATAGCAGAATCAAATTTATCATATTCTAAGAGTACATAATTAACTTTGTATCTATTTTTACATCCTCTGTTAGAATTAAAACTCCATGAGAACAGTGATTTTTGCCCATTTTGTTCACTAATCTGAAAAACCTTAGAACAGTGGTTCTCAACCTTCCTAATGCTGTGAACCTTTAATATAGTCCAAAGGGGTCACAACCCATAGGTTGAGAACCGCTGCCTTAGAAAAATGCAGAGAACACAAGAGGTGCTAAATAAATACCCATTAAGGGAATGAACGAACCATTCCTCTATCCCTCATTTTAGTTCTAGATGGGTAACATATTCCAAATGTTTCATTCCCATCTCTCTCTCATTCCCAAATTATAAGTCTATTTTTTCATTTGTTTAAATAGTTTGATCCTACATTTGTAGTAGTGAAAAATAAGACAGAAAACAAGGAATTGGAAATTGGGGTTAAGGAGGTAACTGCTGAGAACCTGTGAGATGTGCCTGTGATTGTCAAAAATGCTCTTTGGTGCTGACTTTAGTACATAATCACTACCAAGGAATGCAGCAAAGTCAACCCATTAACCCCTGTAACTTCTAATCCTATCAGCCTTCATACACTCTATGCTACATTCTATCAAGGTGATACTGATTCATGCCATTTGATTTGTCTTACATACGCAAAATACAAAAGTGGTAACTCTCCCGAAATCAACATTCACGTCTTCCCATGGTGCTCATGGTAAACAAAGGACATTTATAATGCTCTTGATTTGCATAAAACAATGAGAAAATTATGGCTAACCTATAATGAGAAAGTTATGGCTACCCTGTATTAGAGCCCTGGAATTTGACCACCCAAGGGACTGTAACACACAGAGGTGGTCAACATAAGGAACTTGGCTCACTGTACTAATACATATGTGTGGTGCACGTCCAGGCTAGGACAATTAGGTCAACTGGAGGAGGTGGTCAGTGTAGGGCAGGGTCATCCATGGAGGTTCTACTGTATGTGCCAGTTATCCTTATAAGTAATTTATAAATATCACAAGCGGAACCCACACAACATTCTTTGAAAGCAAGTACTCTTGGTGGATCTGAAAGTTTAAAAACAAGAATAGGAACATGTAATGGACGGATGGCCTGGAAAAAATGGCAAAAAATTTTCCATCCTTTTAAAACTCTTTTTGGAAACTGAGAATGGCATCCCCTCCCTGGGCTGTGGTTGAGGAAGGGCAAGGGGATATCTTTGTTCTTGGCTTACAGAAAGTGGTGCAGCTGAACTGTCTGGATGGAGCACCCCACTTTCCCAGTAGATGAAGCTCATGGGTTTGTCTTGGGACAGTTAGAATCATTGCCTATAGTTGAACAACAAAAGGCCCCTCTCTTTTAAGAGTTCTATTTCAGCTTATGTACAGGAAATGTTGTATTTTGGGACAAGAGTCTCCCATTTTTCCTCCTTTGCCAGCAATGTAATAAACTTTTCTTTCTTACTCCCCAAACCATGTGCCCTGCTCTTCTGATGGAGCTTGGGGGACAAATGCTGAGCTTTTGGTAAGAAAAGCTATGCTTACTTTTGCCATCTGGAGCACTGAAGCTCTACGGCTAGAGTCTTGCTATGGTGGCTGACTCCCTTGTCATGGGACCCACCAATGGATCCTCTGTGCTCTTTCTTGGCCTGTCTGGTCACAGATCTCTGCTGTGCAGCTAGACGGGTACTTACAGGGTGCATCCCTGCAGGTTTTATATCTGGATCGGCTCTGTCTAAACACGCCATTGTTCCCTAGGAATCAGCCCTCAGATCTGACTGGGAATGACAAGAAAGATCTCCAGACAACCCAACTGTATTGAAACTTTGTTGGTAAAACTTTAAGACCTTACAATTAACTTGGTACTTTATTGTACCCTAGCCAGTAAAAGTAAGGCTTGATATATAAACTCAAGGACTTTAATCCTGATTGAACCTCACTTAAAACTAAAGAAAAGTATGTGTTTTTCTCTCCCTTATAAAATTTTATTAGTCTTCATAATCTTTGCATTATTTGTTTAGAAAAACCTAACATGGACCAAACCCACGGTGCATCTTACAAGGGTACATGTGAAACTTACTAAATGTAGAATATAAATGTTTTAACACAGCAACTAAGAAAATGCCATGAAGGCTATGTTAACCAGTTTGACAAGAATATTTCAAATGTATATAAAACCAGCAAAAAAGAAAAAAAAAAGATAAGCATTTGAGGTGATAGAGACAATAATTTGATTGATTTAATTATTCCACATTGTATTCATAAATCATAGCATCACTTTGTACCCCCTAAACAAATACAGCTATAATTTGAAAATTTATAATTCCAAAAATAAAAATTAAAAAATATGTTCATTATACAAAAAGGACAATAAAGAAAGAAAAACCTAACAATCAGATTAAATTGAAAATTATTGAGTAACTAAATTAAATAACTGGATCATCATGGTGATTCTTACCTGGCTTGTCTGAGAAATCCGGCGAGTCCGGTTATATAGCGCCATGCTGTCTCCTTCCCGCGTTCTTTCAATTCTCCAACCCCAAGCCAGCATAGTTTTCAGAGACTCTTTGATTGGCCAACGATAAATTTCTTTTTCCTAGAGAAACAAAACAAAGAACAGGGATATTAGGAACCTAAATGAAAATTTAAAATATTTAATGCTTTTTTCACTTTAAAAAAAATAATTAGCATAGCTTACTTAAAAATACAAAAAGGAAAGTACAATTCTACAAAGCAGAGTGTAAGTTGAGATCTAGTTTTACTAATGCTACTGAGACAGAGCCTTACTTATGATATAGCATAGAAATCAATTTCCTTTAGCTCCTCAGTTCCTGGATCTTACACAGAAACTTAAAAAGAGAAATGCAATTAGGAAAAAGTGCCAGCGTACATGATACACATGTGATTCGCAATGAAGTAAAATTCTTTTCACTTAATTTGTCGAAATAGACATTTCCCCCCAAAGAAGTAAAATATATAAAAACTTATCAAAATAAGTACTTTTTTGTTTGTTTGGTTGTTTGAGACCCTCTTATTCTGTGGGTAGAGTAGCATGGCATCCTAGCTCACAGCAACCTCATACTCTTGGGCTCAAGTGATCGTCCTGCCTCAGTCTCCCGAGTAGCTGGGACTACAGATGCCTGTCACAATGCCCATCTAGTTTTTATATGTTTAGTAGAGACAGAGTCTCGCTGTTGTTCAGGCTGGTCTCGAACTCCTGAGTTCTGGCTATCCACCTGCCTTGGTCTCCCAGATTGCCAGGATTATAGGCATGAACCACCAAGCCCAGCCTCAAAATAAGTACATTAATAAAGTATTACTTTATCGTTATCCATCAAGAAACTGCTAAGCACCAGGCTCAGTGGCTCATACCTGTAATCCCAGAACTTTGGGAGGCTGAGGTGGGTAGATTGCTTGAGCTCAGAAGTTTGAGACCAGCCTGAGCAAAAGCAAGATCCTGTCTCTACTAAAAATAGAAAAACTGAGGCAAAAGGATCCCTTGAACCCAAGTTGGAGGTGCTATGATGCCCAGGGTGACTTGAGACTCTATCTCAAAAAATAAAATAAAATAAAATAAAATAAAACAAAACAGAAACTGTTAAGCATTATGAGAAATGTTTTCTAAAATCCTTAGAAGTATGACCAAAGTATAAAACCAAAAAAGGAAAGGAAAAATAAAAGGACAAATGAGAACAACTACAGAAATATTGACAGAAAATAAGAATGGAGAGAAAATACAAATTCTAAGAAGATAAATAAAAGGACATTTGAAAAGGTAAAAATAGTAAATTTAAAGGAAAAAAGGCATTTTAATAAAAAAGCATAACCAAGAAAAAAATTTCCAAAAAACTTAAAACCTTATAAACAAAAAGTCCTCACCTTTTCAGATAATAGTTTATATGGCTTCATCAATGGTTGAACCTTGGAGGAGTCTGAATATATTTCTCCATAAATCCATCCATTTGCCAACTAAGAAAACAAACATCAAAGATTGTTTTATATGTGTCAATTTTAGAGAGTGTAAGTGTTTGTGTTGCTTGATGAAGTTAACTTAAAATGAACCAACATAAGAATTCAGGTTTGATTTTATCCAGCCTAAGTGAATACAAAGATTTCTACCTTAATCAATGTTATTGTCAGTAATCATCTAGAAAAAAGGCTTTTAATTATCTGGAGTTAGGGTACACTCTTTCTACCTTAAACAGACCCAGGTCTCTGTGCCAAAAAGCATGCCCCTAAGAGGAGATGGCAGGGATATAAGGTCCAGTGATCTTTGTTCTGACACGTCTTAGACCTTGCCTATGAAGTGTACATGGGAAAGGCTCATTTTAAATATGCAAACGGGAGTATTCATCTCAGAAGCTTCCCTAAAGACTAATCCTTGTTTTGCCGACTGTTGCATCCAATGATCTCCCAATGTGTTCATTTCACGTTATTCTGCTCCTGCCCACATGTCACCATTTCCGTGTCATTTGAGGTCTGCATATGGAATCTGGATAATGACACTGGAGTAGCTCAGGCCTCATTGTGAGTCTACCTGTTTGGTAGTTAATGGAGTTTACATATAAAACAGACCCTCACTGGCTTCCCTAGTCAATCAATTAAATTACTGGACAAAGAACCACACATTTATCAAGACAAACAGAAAGGAGTTTCTTAGGGGGATTAAGGAATCAGGTGGCCGGGGCAACGTCTGAAACTGAATATGATGTCTCTAGCATGAAGATACTGAGTTGTGTGACACAAGTGTCCTTTAGAATGTTTGCTGTTGGATTTTTACTTCCCCTAATCAGTGTGTGCAGATTTTAGATTCTTGGACTATCTCAACTCAATTTCTCTGAAAAACCTAGTTTAACCATCCTGTCAAGTTTAAAATTGGTTCAACTTGCATGCTAATACCAAGGCACAATGCTTCCTTTAGAAAATCTCATCATATGTAGGAATTATCTCAAAGATATGGCTACTTCAGTTTCTCCTTTGAGTTGTTTTTCTTGGAGACACAAATAACATACGTCACCTGGCCAATGTAACCTATTTTTAGGGAACTGCTGACCTACTTGGTAGTAAGAAATAACAACAGAAGAGTACCATGAAGAAAATCATTAAATCCTGATTACGAGTTTTCAAGATTTTAAGTAATTAAAACCACACATAAAACCAAAGTCCTCTTGAAAGGTGAATTCCACATCCTCCTGCAATTGCCAGAGAATGTCACTTTTTACCTCCAAGTTCAATGTGGCTGGAAATACAATTATGATTTCATTAACAGATCTCTTGTAGTCTTAAAATTACACTTTTTGTGAACACAAATATCCTTATATGTACATGTACAAACTTGTGTTGATGGTAGAAGTAGCTAAATGTTATATTAGCAAATCGTGATTGAATGTTCTTTCCTCATTAACAGAAAGCTCTCACTTTAAAATTTAAGGAAAACTTAACCTTAACCTTATGTCAGGGTCATAAATATTTGAGCAGAGACCAGTCGTGACGTCAGTCTGACTTTACCTTGTCCATCGACCATTTGTCATGGGAGTGTTCTGCGTATTTGTTAATGAAGTATTCCAGCTTCTCAGGAATTGTAATGCTATGAAAAAAATAAAGAAAAAAAGCTCTATTTTCACAGAATGTACGGGACATCGTATTAATAACTTACTCACAGCTTACGAATACTTAGATCCCATTCAATGCATAACTGTTAAAAAATAGTGGTGACAAAGTATCATTTTTTTTCATATTTCAGAATATAAAAAAGTCACACAGATAAGGTTCTATCTGCCCATCTTATGTTGAGTCATATATTGTTATTTGTTAAACAACAAAATAAGATACATATAATTATTATATAAATATTTAAATTAAAATATATTAAAAGATGAGGACAACAGATTATATAAAAGAGAAAAATAAACCCTATGTCAAGATATGGTTAGACTCAATAAGCTTAAAGACACACTCCTCTTCCTAGCTCTTCTTTGAAGTCCTCCCCGTGACTTCACTCTCTTCTTCAACAACTATAAATGAAAGAAAGGCTGAAACACCATCTGCTTCATTTTTAAGACGTACCAAACTTTTAAATTAATCTCATACCACTAGTGATGTGTTAATAATTTTAAATACTAATAGTCCATGTAGAATATTCTAAGTGTCATTAATATTGACTACAGAGAAAAGTAGTTAAGCAACTCATACTTTATGCTTTTGATAATATTCATTCTTGAATCCTTTCATGTTTAAATAAATATTTAAGCTCTGAACCAATGTCAAAGGCATGCAACTGATGACCAAGTCTGACACTTAGGGATATCAGATACATCTATGAATGGAAAATTAAATATATAATGTCCCATTCATTAATGAATATAACTTACTAGAGCAATTAACTTTAGGAAGAAAACTCTAAATAAAGCCTAGCATACTAAGGTGGTTTATTACTCTTTTCCAGGAATGTTACTAGTAATTGAACTAAAGGACATATTTAGAAGCAATATATAAAAATCACAATCATATTGAAATTAGTAATATCACCATGTAAATCTGCATCTGTTAAGAAGTCCCCAAAGAGGCAAGCCTAGGTAAATTTAACACACATGCCCATAGTTACTCATTGTATTTAATTAGTTAACACCAAAACCATGACCCTGTTCTGATGTTATTTTAAAATCCTGGATTTATACTGTATGTTAACAGACCACGCACTTACCCGCGTAGGTGTGATATTTTGGTTTACTTACTTTGAAAGAGATACAAAAGATCAGTCAGATAAGCCAAATACGGGGGCAGGGGGAGTGAAGGGGGAGGCTATTCTCACAGGACTGTTAGCAAATACCAAACATGCAAATTTAAGGCATTCTCAAACTCATGGCGTCCCACTCAGGTTGAAATTCTGAGTTGGTTACGGATGCTAAACCAGCTGGGGCCGCTCAGAAACCTCTAAGAGGAATTCCCAAGCCAATTCAGAAGCCTTGGATGATAACTACCAAGCGTCTACCTTGCTAAATCACTGATCTTGCTGAGTCACCCCGGAATCAGTAAGAGAATGTGGCGTGAAGAGGCAGCTTGCATGGTCCTACTTGAAGACAGTAACAACAAAACGCTGAGACTTCAATCAGCTGAAGTACCCGCACATGTTATTTGCAGAATAATCTATGCATCTAAGGACATGGGAGGAATTTCATGATGCAGAATAATATTGTTTTAGCTTTAGTCAAACTGCATTCTAACTGCACGGCCCTTCAAACTCGTGCTGTCCTTTCTGATGTGGGACCTCAGCTGTTCACCCTGCACCCTGCTGAGAGGTAGTGATGGGTGAAATGATTCCCTGCTCCTTGTAAAACAGCTTTGTAGGGCTTGTGGGGATCAACCCACCTTACATGCTCTATAGAGCTTGTGTAAATAAATATTCTGGGTACATTTTCAGCTAAAACTATAACTGATATACTTTCTTGATTCTTATTATAGATGTCCCCATGTAGTTATACACAAAGAGTCCTGATTATGTTAAGAGTATCCTGGATAGGTACATCTCTTCTATTTCTGGTATTAGTATCATCATGATTATTATCATATCATTTGATAAGTTAAAGGGACCCCTATTAAAAGGATACCAATTCAAGGGGGGCATGTATTAGAGAATGTTCACTTTAGTACCTTATTCAATTTCAGACTTCACACATCATTTACAATAAAAATCTGCTGCAATAGAAAGAGTCCATACTTTGAGGTATCAACAGGTTGTGGGTTAAAGTTCCCTTCAGAATCCATGGATGACTGTTTTTCCATCATACTGACATAATTTGACTCCATGTAGTCTGGAGGCAAAGCGCCCGCAACGGCACTCAGGCAAGGCAGTGCCAGTTTGAAAAGTTCTTGTTCATATTTCTGGGAAGCAAATGGAGAACCAAAAAAAGAAAAACATTACTATTTTATTATATGTCAAAAGTTATCACCACAGCTCATACAATGCTGTAGAAGGAAGTTTGAATCGCCCTGGGCCAACTTAACTCCCTAATGATTCTGTCCATAGAAAATGGAACTCAGAGCCTGAATTCTCATAAAACAAACTTCATAGAAGCTGCAGCTCCATTTACTGTGGTTACAACTTCAGGAAAATAAAATCTTTGCTTCTTCAATATAGAATTTGAAATGATGTCAACTTGAATATTCAAGGTTCATAAAATGTTTTTATAACACAAACACAATTTCAATGAGGACTATATTCCTTACACTTAGTTATGGATTAGTGCTGGACCACAGTATAATGACTATATGCGAAAAATACATAAAGGATAATGTTCCAGAGAGTGAGAAATATTAACGGATCCCATGTTGCTTTTCAAAGGTATGAAAAACAAAATTCTGAACTGAGAAAAAATTCTATAGAAAGTACATACAGTAAAAATTTCTAGGAACAAATATTTGTATGATAATTACATAATTAGTTAAATTTTTGGTTAAGAAAATACCATGACATCTATGTTAACCAGTTTGATGAAAATATTTCAAATTGTATATAAAACCAGCACATTGTACCCCATGACTACATTAATGTACACAGCTATCATTTAATAAAAAAAGAAGAAAAAAGAGCAACATAATTTACAATAGCTATAAAAAATACCTAGGTATTAATCTAACTAAAGAAGTGAAAGTCCTATACCAAAAAAAAAAAAAAAATCAAAGATAACTGTTTCTATTATCTTACTAGAAACGTTAGATTTTAAGTAAATTTTACAATGCTTCTAAAAATATCTCCTATTATTTTTAAAGGATTCTGTTTACCAAGAGAAATTTAGCAAGAAAATGTAGCCACCAAATGTGATCACAGATCCACCTCCCCCATCATGCAGCAAACTTAAAGTTACACTACTGCAATCATCTTACTAATATCTACCTGAGAATTCAAATAGATTTTGATTAACTTAGGCCTGAGCATACAAAATACAATCCTCAGATTTGTCTCTGAAATTACTACTTTCCAGTCATCTGGAAGTACACGAAGTATTTATTATAAATATGGCAGCTACAAGGGAATATCACATATACGAAGCAACACTGAACAGAGGCATTTAAATCTCCATAGCAGCAAAGCAAGAGAAGTTAGTAAGTCATTGGAATATTATAATTTTATAATATTTTGTATTTTTACAGTCTATATAATTTCTTCAGGCTTTATAAGATTGCAGATGTGGCCGGGGAAAGTTTGAGTCCAAAAAAGTCCAAAGGCACCAGAATCGTGTTATTTAAACATGGGCATACTTTCCTGAACTACTTAGCATTTTAAATTCGCAAAGAGCGTTATGATCACAGAGAACATGCCACCATAATAATTAAGAATAAAACCAATACAAACTGCTTTCCCAACATGTGTTATCGAGAAAAGAGATTGAAAAAGCTACGTAAGTTTGGTAGTATTCCTAGTGCAATAGTACCTTACCAAGAACTTTGGACTTTTTTATGATTTTATCAATACAAATAAATCCGTAAAACATTCAATTACCTTTTGAGACAAGGCATCAAAAATGCCCCAGAACAGTTTTCTTGATAAGTGAAGTTCTTCTTCGGAGGCAGCACCAAAATTTCCCCACCCTCCAGGCAGGCAGTAATATTTCCAGCATCTTTCATAATGATTGGTCAACAGCTATGTGGGAAAACAATTATGAAGGCAATGAGCAATGAGAAATTATTATTATTATTTTTTTGGTAGTTTTGGCCAGGGCCGGGCTTGAACCCACCACCCCTGGTATATGGGGCCAGCGCCCTACTCCTTGAGCCATAGGTGCCGTCCAATGGAACATTTTCTATCTACATTTTTTTTTCCATTTCTCCTCATACCATTCTAATGCTCTGTCATAAGATCAGCTGAAGTGAAATTGCTCAATCCATGTGAATTATTTCGGAGAATATTATTACTTTATATATTACGTAGATGATCTAAGGCACGCCCACATAGGAGAAAAACTCGTTTCAACTCAAGATGGAGGGAGGGAGAACAAGACGGGGGAGGGGCCGGGGTGCTCTCGCTGACTGTGCACGGGGTAGGGTGATGGGCCCACCTTTTGTGAGGGGGGCATAAGCACAAGAGAGACTCTACCAAACAAAATCAAATATTTTGACCTGGTTGATTGTACCCTCATATTAGCCTGAAAGAAATATACTTTTCAAAATAAATAAATATTAAATTTAACACTGATCACAACATGAGGACAAAACATCCAATTGTACAAATGGCTGTATCTTAAGCAGCATTCTTTATAGTGCAGTTTACATATCTCTCTACATATCCCCAATTTCTCCTTTAGTTGTTGTCAGTCACTCACAATTTTATGCATTGTTATCTCAGAATCCATGTGCAAAACAAAGGAATTGATGTCAGAGTGACCTAGAGGCCCAGGAAGCGATTATTTTTGCTCCCTGTTTGTCTTTAACCATCACAGTTGATGATTGGCCTCAAAACTTGATTCAAATAGAGCTGCAAAACTACTCTACTTGAATCATTTCTTTATCTGTATTTCTTTGGTGTTACAGATGCAATTGAATACCTTACTGAGCGTCTAGGCTGCTCCTTAGGTTTTCACCTATGAATACTGTTTGTTTGGAACTAAAGTGGAAGTTCAAGGACAAGGCAGCTCTTTGGATGATGTATACCTGAACTGTATTTGTCAAATTCAGAAAATGGTCTGTATGAATCAACTCTAAGTACTTGGACTCTTTTCTGTGTCTGAGGAAGAAAATAAATTATAAGGATTATTGCTATTAAAGCTGGTTACATCTCTTACTAGGGAAATATCTCATTTCACTTTTCTTTTTAATTACAAAACATGAACACATCCCCATAGGCACCCAAGTTAGGAACCTCAAATGATGAAATATTGAAATCTAATTCACCTGGCTTAACCCTGAAGTATCTATAAAGGCTTTTATTGCATAAAATTAAGAACATAAGACTTCTAAGGAATTTTCAAGACAAGAAAATTTTATATGACAAAAGCTATTCCAGATAATAGAAACTGTAAAATTTTTTGAGCAAGGATATAATATACTTTATCTAATTCAATAATTTATCTAGACTTAGTAAACCAAAAACAGTTCTCATAGAGAAAAATTAATTTTTCTGAATATCCAGGGATAATCGGTGTATGAATGAGACTTTATCATAATCAGAATAGTAAATCTGAGCAGAGAAAGTATCAGTGGCTTTTCCATATAATGTGACAAACTGTAATTGCATTTGAGTCCTAGAAAGTGACATTTGGAAAGTGTCATGTGATTATTCAGAATTGTTATTTTTGGTTTTTTTCCCTCAAGGCTGCTAATGATACTTTAAGTTAGGCTTACTTCCACCTTAATAGTATCTTGGCTTATCTCTTCCTTGTGGTTTATTTTTCCCATTGATTTCTATTTCCATTAATTTCCATGGAAATCAACCTTAGGATTCCTATGGCCATTTATTATTTGTTTACTTCAAGTTGATATTCACAGTTCTATAATGTCTACGCTTATTTCAATAATTGGGAGAAATTTTCCAGCATCAATAATCAAGCAAGATGTATCAAAGAGATGGGCATGTGATAATAGGAAATCAAATCAGAGAAAACAGAGGAACCAGTCATCAAATAACTACAAGCATTTCTTATCCTTACCTTAAGGGGCATCTTTGCATGCTCATTCAATAATGGAACATCAAATACTAATCTTCTGAGTAAGTGCTGCATCATGGAAGGTCTCAACTGGCTGTGGGAACAAGGTCAATTTTAATAATGAAAGGAAATGGTACCTCAAGAGACATTCACTAGACTAAATTATATAAGCCAAGAACAGGGATCTTTATTTCCCTTTAGATATTAATTAGGCGTTCCTGGTCCAAAGATTAGTCAAGAGTTATTTAATTTTATGTAAGTTACATTTCTCAACTCATCTCCATCCCTCTGATCTGACAGCTACCTCTCCTTTGCTACAGGAGATAGATAGTTCTCTTCTGTTCCTCATCTTTCTAAACCACTCAAAACTGCAGACCCCACTATCTTTTAAGACCATCCCCTATGGATGTGGTTTTCCAAGTTAGAGGAAATATTCAGCCTTCATCATTGTCATATAGAAACATGCTTTGATATTACATTAAATATATTTTTATATTTAATAAACCCTTTTCTTCTCTCTTTCTTTTTCTAGAAGAGGAATTAAAATCATCACACATAGTCAAAACAGTCAAAAGGGACAGAAATTGCTTTCAAAATTCAAAAATAATTTGTCAAAGACCACATCATATCATAAATACTCCCTCCTCCCTCACTCCTTCTTTTCTTATTTCCTTCCTCCCTTTCTTCTTTCCTTTCTTCTTCCCTCCCTTCCTCCCTCCCTCCCTCCCCCTTTCCCTCCTTTCCTTCCTTCCTTCCTCTCTCCCTCTCTCCTTTCCTTCCTTACTCCCTTCTTCCCTCCCTCCCTCCCTCCCTTCCTTTCCTCCTTCCCTCCTTCCTTCCTTTCTTCATCTTAATTTATTTCCCAGGCTAGAGTCCTGTGATTTCAGCCTAGCTCCACAGCAACTTCAAACTCCTGACCTCAAGCAATCCTCCCGCCTCAGCCTCCTGGAATGCTGGGATTGCAAGCATGAGCTACTGTTCCTGGCCACAGATTCTCTTTCCCAAAGAAGAAGAAAGTTGGCATAGAGTCAGTTGCCCACTTACCCACAAATAGAGAGTAAACAAACTTCTATGGAATCCCGTTGTGCTTTGGTAAGTGAGCAGCCCTTAGAAAGTCGGTACACGGTATGGAGTAATGAGTCGATGAGGGAAGCATGGTGCTCTGTGCCAGCAAACAGAGGAGCACATCGTGTTAACAAAGGCAAGACAGCTGTGCAAAGGTACCGATTGAGGGCCAAGGCCATGTCTGTAGCACTCAAAGCAGCCTAAAAAGGAATTAGAGAAAAGAAACCCATTTGTGTTTGAGGGAAGACAACTTGGAAAGGGATGTTGACATATCATTTTACTATCTAGAAAATGACAAAAATATGAAAAACAGGATTGTATTCCTTAGTTATACCTTTCAATGAGGTTCATAGGCTCTTTCTCACTACAAGCAGTCAATCATCGATTGTTCATAAATAGATTACAAAGGGAATGAAATGATATCTGCCTGTTCAAAAAGCCCAAGAGGTCTGGGTCTACCATAAAATATCAATGGTAGCATCAATGTAAGGTAAGGACATTAATGATATTAAAGATCTGAGTCCTTTCATTTGCTAAGGGAGGATAAAGGTGCTTCTTCTCATAATATATCAAATATCCATAAGTTCTTCCTGAACTCTGTTTATATCTCATATTTCTGGTCACCAATTCATCAGCACCAAGAATCAAAGGTTGATTGGATTACTATGCTATCATCTATACTATTTAGCTTCAGAATTTAGAGGGAACACAACCAACAACCAAACAGAGATTTCCATTCCATTTTTATAATTCTGTTCTCACAGACTTCACGAAAGGGCTCTCATCAATTCAAGACCTGATTTCTCCTGAAATTAAACAAGGTCCATTTAACTGATAAAATAAATAAAAGCAGATATTACTATAACTCTAATAACACTTAGAACTTCAGCTATTCCCCAAAGTCTCAAAGAACAGAACATTTACACTGATAATGGCAGATTCTCCATTTGGGCCACCCAGCGTGTAGGATGGACTTTGACCTATCTGTACCTTAACAAATGACACAGATGACACTGTCATGGGCATGGCTCCATTAAATCTTAATACTTTAATTATTTTTATTGAGAGGCAAAATTATTTAGGCCAATTTAGAGGTTAATACTGAACAAAGGTTGACAGGACTCCCTGTGACCTCCAACATTAGAAATACACGAAGTTCTTGTTGATTTCCATAGCACTTTATCAGAATTCTTGTCATACTCTCGAAGAAGGAAGTTTCTTGAGCTGGACAATGTAACTATTCAACAAATTCCTTGAGGACATAGTCGTATTTTGTTTTCTGTTTACCCACAGAAGATGCTTATAGGTACCAAAAACATTTGTTGTCAACATGAATGAATTACCAATAGGCATAGAGTGAAGAGTCAACAGAAGTGGAAGGAACCAATTGCTCGAATCATACCGTATCTAAAGAAGCAGCAGCTCGGAGATCTGGCAGAAAGCCAACCTCAAGAAGATGGAGGAGGAAATCTTGAACCTCAATTCCATAGACCCTGTCAAGGAATAAAACCATGGCTGCCTTGTGATCTGGGCAAAACCCCGCAGACATGTCGGGTTCCACCACATTCCCATCTAAAAGAGAGAAGTGAACGTTGGTGTCAATGACCATGCTGCAAGTGGGACAGCTTAGACAGGGCTTCTTTTCAAACCTCTTATCTTTTCAATTAAGTTATCAGTGATATTGTTTCCTATGCTTCTATTACCCTCAAGTGAGTACAGAAGTTGGCTAAGGAAATATGGTAATGCAATTAAAATATGGGGTTATTTAAATGGTATTTGGGCACCCATTTGTTAACTACATACAAAGACATAGTATTGTACCAGATACTTAGAAGATCAGAAGATATTCAAAATTTACCCCTAATACTAGGACTGAATGAACACTTAAAATGTAAAGTAGGAATTTTTACCCTTTTCAAAAAGGATAACCTCTTTGAAACATTAATAAAGCCCATGTGCATCTATGTGATAATCTTGGTACATTTACATTTTCATGGTTTAGAACAATAACCATGTTCTAATGAGGAAACCAGAAGGGCTTTCATAAGAAATATTTTTCATTAATCAAAATAGCATTCAACAACATTTAAAACATATCTGAAGGGTACACTTATAATTTTGCTTTTAAATATACAAAATTAAAACTATGTAGTCAAAACGTGTACTCCAGTAATATTCTGAAATAATATATATATATAAACATATTTGAAAGTCATATTATTACCACCATCAGTAGTCAATTTTGATTCTTTATAATAAGCCTATAGGTTCACAAATTGGGGAACATTAATACGAGGATTTATGGAATTGTGTGACAATTTACAGTGCAGAAAAACTGATTTGCTTTCTGTGGGACCATATGATAATTATGCCAAATGGGTGTTGATAACACTCTGTAAAATTCTACAAATCTCACAGAGTCTTTTTTTTTTTTTTGACCTAGAGTCTCACTATGTGGCCCTTGGTAGAGTGCCACGGTGTCATAGCTCACAGCAACCTTGGGCTTAAGCAATCCTCTTACCCCAGCCTCCCAAGTAGCTGGGACTACAGGTGCCCAGCACAGTGCCTGGCTATTTTTTTGTTGCAGTTGTCATTGTTTAGCTGGCCCAGGATGGGTGCAAACCCACCACCCTTGGTGTATGTAGCTGGCGCTATAACCACTATGCTACGGACACTGAGCCCTCACAGAGTTTTTAATATGGGTGGAATGTCAAAGACGAACCCAAAGAAAGATGATACATGACCATGACCATAATCATCTTGAAAGAAGAAAATGAAAACTTTTCTGTTTTCAATTGTAGTCAATGAATACATCTTATATTTGAATCATGAAAATAAACAAATAATGACTTAAAAGAATCTAGATCGAAGGGTAATACCTAGTAACTTCCATCCTGTAATTACAATAATTCTAACATAACTTATACTTTCCTTATAAGAATAAATAGCCTTTCTATGTGTTGCTGGCAGGAACTGAACTACAAATATGACAGATATAATCTCATACACAATCCAACTATGAAGTTGATATTATAATTCTCATTTAATGGATAATGAAAACTGACCTTTAAATAGGTTAAGCAAATTTGTCCAAAGATATACTCCTAGTAATTGGCAAAGCTGTATTTCACCAATTGAAATCCGATTTAAAATCCAGCCAAAGCTAATTTAAATCTTAGTGTTATCAGTATGTTATAATTTTCTTCTTCTTTTTTTTTTTTTTTTGAGTAGAGCCTTACTCAGTTGCTCTGGGTAGAGTGCCATAGCATCATAGGTCATAGCAACCTCAAACTCTTGGGCTCAAGGGATTCTCTTATCTCAGTGTCCTGAGTAGCTGGGATTACAGGTACCTGGTGCAATGTCTGGCTAGTTTTTTTCTATTTTTAGTAGAGATGGGGTCTCACTTTGCTCAGGCTGGTTTCAAACTCCTGAGCTCAGGCAATTACCCACCTCGGCCTCCCAGAGTATTGGGATTACAGGCATAAGCAACTGTACCCAGCCGGTATGCTATAATTTTCAATTAAAAACTAGATACAATTCCAGTTCAATTCTTCTAAAAACAACATTTATTATAGGGAATTTAAGTGCACCCCCATGCAGGGCTCTTTTCTGTTTTTTTTGTAGAGGCAGGGCCTTGCTGTGTTGCCCAGGCTGGTGTTGAAGTCCTGGCCTCAAGTGATCTTCCTGCCTAGGCCTCCCAAAGTGCTAGAATTACAGGTGTGAGCCGCCACACCCAGCTGGATTCTACTATTTTAACATATAGCAGTGCCTAAAGAAAAGATAAGCCAACTTACTGGCCCTAATGTAAGCTTTGCTTTTAAACACTCCGTCAAGTAAACCTGCATTTTTATGAATGCCGTAACAACAGCTGCTGGTGGCTCAAGACTCACAGATTGGCTGCCGTTGCTGTTTTATTTTTACCATCTCCTTAAACACATTGGAGACCAATAAAGCTCTGGCTTCCCTCTGTGGCACCTGCTGTATGCAGTCACCTGAAATTACTGCCTCCGACAAGGCTTAGGTCTAAGTTCCCTGGGTGAAGAGTTGTGAGATTAAGGGCTTGCTCCCCAAGTTTTCTGAATCACTATCATTATGATTCTGGGGCACACTCTTGGTCTAGAATTAATATGATAAAAATGTTTGAGGAAGGCCTTAGCTAAGACTGAGAGGGGACTATCCCAGTCTTTAGAATCAAAGCTCAGGCTAAATACAGAACATATATCTGTTATTCCTGCTACTTCGTAATTATTGAAACGGAGGAAGAAACAGTGATGGCACACGCATAGCCACGATAAAGTTAAATGCTTAGCCACAGTAAGAAAAATATGCAAAAGTTTCTGTCTACATTTCCACAAAAGGAAGGCAGTAAAAGAAAAATGCAGAAATTTAACAATGACAAATGGATTCCCTTCAAAAGAAAATGGAGCCACTTCCATTGTGACTGTTACAGTTCGCCAAAAAAGAAAAACATTTAACTGCCAGTATGTATAATACCACGCTGCATATTTATGAAGAAAATTATCATAAAATAGAAACATTAAAGGACAGCCCAATGGAAGAGTAAAGAAAGCAACTTGAAAAGCTGGAGGCAGGGCAGCGCCGGTGGCTCAAGGAGTAGGGTGCCAGTCCCATATGCCGGAGGTGGTGGGTTCAAACCCAGCCCCGGCCAAAAACTGCAAAAAAAGAGATGCTGGAGGCTAGTGAAGGCTGATGATTGGAGGAAATGCGGGGCAGATGGAGATGCTGTGGCCAGTTCTGAGAGGGATGCCTGGGCATTCTCAGTCTGTGTTCTTGATTCGTGATTGTTACCAAGGTTACCACAAAATTTAGCACTTCCCTATTTCCTAATCTGTCTGTCACTGGTACTAGTTTTATCCTGTCCTGACACAAAGAAAAGATGTATCATTCAACAGCATGTTATCAACATAGAAAAAAATGTAGGGAAAGGACAAGGATTTTACATAAGTAAATGAACTTGAGTTAGAGGAGAGCTACAAAGAAGACAGGTAATGACAAGCTCTGGATACGTAAAAAACAGAAACTGTCGGGCGGCACCTGTGGCTCAGAAGAGTAGGACACCGGCCCCATATGCTGGAGGTGGTGGGTTCAAACCCAGCCCTGACCAAAAACTACGAAAAGAAACAGAAACTGACTCAAGTGTGGAGAACATAGATATGGGACAATTTTTAATTTCCAGGTTTCCCTAATGTCATAACGAGGGTTCAAGTATGTACTGGTTTTGTCACCTCACGGACTTGGGGTTATTAAGTTTAGCTCACATGAGACTTTACTTTCTCATAGTCATTTCACTGCTAAGCAGAGTAAGCTACCTTCAGGTATGGAGTGATCTCCTTCACTGGAGACTTGAGCCCTTACAGCCAGCCTTCTCCAGGACATGATTAATGAAAGATAAGATTTATGTAGAGCATGTACTTCCAAACTTTATTATGTTTTTATCTTAAATTAGAAGTTTATATAAAAGTGATTTTGATATAAATATCTAATAAAGTATTAAAAACTGAGAAATAGGGCCAGGTGTGGTGGCTCACACCTGTAATCCTAGCACTCTGGGAGGCCAAGATGGGTAGATTGCTGGAGGTCAGAAGTTCGAGACCAGCCTGAGTAAGAGTGAGAACTCATCTCTACAAATAAGCTGGGATTTGTGGCAGGTGCCTGGGAGGCTGAGGCAAGAGGATCCCTTAAGCAAAAGAGTTGGAGATTTCTGTGAGTTATGACACCACGGCATTTTACCAAGGGCAACAAAGTGAAACTCCATCGCAAAAAAAAAAAAAAAAAAAAAAAAAAAAAAAGAAAACTGAAAAATACTAAAATTTGAAAAAGTAAAAATGATGTATAATTTGGGATCTAACCTCTCTTTTCATAGTTTTTGATGAGTCCTTCAATGTTTTTAAAATTTTTCTCTTTAGTCTTGACAATGTTTTTTCACCACACAAGGAATTTTTAAATCTCTACGTCAAAATCTATAGTCATTGCTTTGAAAAGAAAAGCATTATAAGAAAGTGAAAATGAAACTATCGAAATGCATGAATGAAAGAATTGAGGTCAAGAAAAGACAGAGGAGAATGGGGACCAAGGACTGTAGGAGGAACATGACCTGAGACCATTGAAGGGCCTATTTCGTTTTCTCTGAAAAGTGACAACATTGTCATCTAAAAGAGAATTTAAGTCTCAAGGAAGAAACTGCTGTTTAAAAACAATGAAAATAAAAAATACTTTATAAAATATTTTATACTTCTTAATTTTTTTAAAAGAAATTTCAGTGGCATTGCAATACTATAGGAAGCAAGGAGGGAGGGACGGTGAATATTGATGACATTATTGGAAATATTGATTGTGTCATTCAACACCCTACTGACCTGTGAAGAACAGAACTTGGCCTTACCTTTGGCTACGGTTGGCATCTGAAAAGGGATGCTGATTACTCCCACCAAATCTCCCAGTGGAATCAGGGATCTCAAAATAGACCTGATTCTGATGGCTTCTCCCTTACCAGCGTGAATCAACTACACAGAAAGAGAATTAAAGGAATAAGGTGGTTAAATCAATGTCAGACACCTGTCTAGGACAGGGGTCCTCAAACTTTTTAAATAGGGGGCCAGTTCACTGTCCCTCAGACCGTTGGCGGGCCGGACTGTGGACTCCGGGGCAAGTCGGCTGCTAAGCAGGACAGGCAGCGGCTGCAAAAACACCCGGTAGGCGGGATAAATGTCCTCGGTAGGCCGCATATGGCCTGTGGGCCATAGTTTGAGGACACCTAGTCTAGGAAATCTGGGGTGCAAATTCCAAACCCAGAACAATTTTCTGTTAAATATAAAGTTAAACCTCTCTCAGAAACTATTCTTTCGGGCTTATCTAAAGATACTTACTTGCCCAGACAGTTTTCACTAACTTAACCTACACAAAATTATGCATACTACGATCTAGGCCAGCTGGTTCATCCATTGGAAAAAACAGTTTTTAATTTTCTTTGGGAGTATTAAGATATACTGATAATTTGATAAGTTTATGAATGCTTAGACCCCTTTCCAAATTACATATAAAGACCTATCCTTTGTAGCACAAACAGTAATACAAAGCAAAAATAATTATCTTTATGTCTGAACATATACTAATACTGATGACTGATCTAGCTTTTTTCTCTCTTTATGATAAGAAACTAATCACATATTCATCTATATTCCAGCTGCTTTGTCCCCAGGCTGGATTTACAATGTGGAAGAAATGGTGACCATAAACCCTGCCAGTTCTTTAACCCTGACACAGGGTAACAAAGTGCCCTTGATAACTGTGGTTCAAGATGTAGTCAAGATGGGTATTGCCTGTGGCTCAAAGGAGTAAGGCGCTGGCCCCACATGCTGGAGGTGGCGGGTTCAAACCTAGCCCCAGCCAAAAAACTAAAGATGTAGTCAAAAATAACAGCGATTCTCTAGAACAGACTATAGGCTCCCATAACCAGCATGGGCACCTGTTTCCTCCATCACCTTTGGGGGTGTAAAATCAACCACAATTTCTGATACATAGGAGGCCTCAACTAATGCTTGTGAAGATGACTAGATTTCAGAAGTGCCAAGATTAATCCCTGACTAATTCACTTAATTGTCTTCTTAATAGAATAGAATAAAAACTTATATTTATTCATAAAATTTTCCTCTTTCTTTTTGATCTTTTTACTGACATGAGAAAAAAGAACAGATATGTCAGCAAGCTTTCTTTTTATCTACAATCGCTTCCCCCGTACAAATTTTTGATAATCTGTTCCCACTTAAGAAGATAAAAAGGCCCATTAGCCGTTTTTTCAAAAACCAGTTTCTAAGTGTTCTATCATTTTAGCATTTCTTTGCCTGTAATTCCTCTCTGTTAAAAAAGAAAAGAGAGTATGGGGCGGCGCCTGTGGCTCAAAGGAGGAGGGCGCCAGCCCCATATGCTGCTGGAGGTGGCAGGTTCAAACCCAGCCCCAGCCAAAAAAACTGCCC